TTTTTTTTTTTCGCAAATTTATTTTCATAAAATCATTACATTAAACTTTTTTTTTTTTTTTTTTGTTGACGTAGGAACTCGCAGCCGCTACCCGTCAGCGGAGCCCGACCACCACGAATGGGCTGGAATTCTTTTGTTTTGAGTATTAATTTGTTGGTTTTAATTGTTTTAAGGATTTCACAAAATTAATCTTGTAGTTTAAGAAAAGTGGAAATTACACAAAATCATAATTTTAAAGATTCAATTTCAAAAATCAGATTGAAAGTTTCACTTTTCAAAAATCAGATATTTTATTTTTAAATATTAAATATTAATTGTACAATTTTCATCCAAAACCTAATCAATTTCATCCCAATTTTCCTTCTCTCTTCTCTCCTCTCTCCGTCACTCTCTCTTCTCACTCTCCACTATCCCCCCTCTCCGCCTATAGCCCAGCCTCCACGAGACAGCGCATTGTATTTCTTCTTCCTCCTCTCTTCTTTCCGTCATTCTCTCGTTCGTCGCTGAACAGCACTTGAGTTCGCCGTGGGCAATATGGTGTTGGTGTTCATGGTAGTGCTGATAGCTTGTTAGTTCCGCAGTGCTCTCCGTTGATTAGATCGGGTGAGGTGGTGGTGATGTGTGGTTTTGGTGGTTGTTCTAGCAACGGTGGTTTTGGTGATGTGTGGTCGTGGTTGGATCTGGTAAGGTTGCTCCACAACACTAATGTTGTTGGTGGTTCCCAGTCGTCGCGATGATGTTGCTGTGGCCATAGTCGACGGGATCCCGTTTTCGATAGTTTAGCGGTGCTCTCAGTCAATTGAATCTGTTGAGGTATGGTGATGTGTGGTTGTGGTGCTTGTTCTAGTGGCGATGGTTTTGGTGATGTTTGGTTGTGATTGGATTTGGTGAGGTTGTGGTGCTGGTGTTTCAGTAACAGTGACTTTGTTGGAGGCGCAGGTTATGTTGGATGTAATGGTGGTTGTGGTTTTTTGGGTGGCGGTGGCGGTGGATCTTGGTGGCAGTGTTGAGATGTTGGTGGCGACGAGGTCGGTTGAGGTGGTGGTGGATTGGTGAGAAGACGTGATGGTATTTTTTACGATGTGTTGATTTGTTTAAGGTGATGGTGGTTCTGGCGGCGGCGGTTGCAGTAGTGCTACGGAGGGAGTGGTCACAAGTGTTGTTTGTGGTCACAAATTATTTGGTGATTGTGATTATTAAATTGGTTAACATGTGACCAATAAACAATATGTGATCAATGAAAAAGATAAATTGTGACAAAAAATGTGTGACCTAAAAAGTCGTTAATTTGTTATCGATAATTTGACAATTTGTGATTGTCCAATAAGTTGTGACTTATAATATTTGTGATTTATGACCTATAAATAAATTGTGACATTTCAATTTTTTATTTGTGAGCTCATAAATCATGACTGTAAAATAATTTGTGCATATAAAATTTGTGATTTGTGACCAATGAATAATATGTGACTTATTAATTTGATAGATTGATGACAGATGAATAAATTATGACTTATAAATTTATGATTTATGACCGATAAATAAATTGTGACATATAAAATTTTTAAATCGTGATTGTAAAATAATTTATGATATATAAAATTTGTGATTTGTGACTAATGAATAATATATGACTTATTAATTTGATAGGTTTGTGACCTATCAGTAAATTGTGACGTATAAATTTGTGATTTGTGATCGATAAGTGAATTGTGACCTACAAAAATTTTAAATCGTAATCGTAAAATAATTTGTGATATATAAAATTTGTCATTTGTGACCAATGAATAATATG